CGCTCAGCTTCTAGGCCCCCTTCTCTGTGGCTGGAGTCTTACGAACTTTGTAATTATGTTTTTTGTGAAGGTGATATGACAGTGGTGAGAGATTATTTCAGATAAGTTTCCGTTTTTGAATGTCGAATCATGCTCAGTTACCTCCCTGTATATGCGGCCTCTGGCAACAGCCAAGGCCTGCCTGTTGGGAGTGAATCACTTCCACGGAGAACGCAGACTCCACTGGGGTCATCGCTGAGTCGAGGCAGCATTGTCCCGAGCCGGGCAAGCTCCCGGCCGGCTCCAGCAGCCCCCCTCTGGTCCCCTGGAGGCCCTGACTGTGGGGGAAACCTGTTGTGCTTCTCTTCGCTTCCTCTCCTCCTTGAAGGGGGCCGTGGAGGAGCACCGGCTGTCTGTCCTGCTTCCGTGCTCTCTCACACATGCAAAAGTAAGGGCACCCGTCCCCTTATAATGCGCTGATCAGAAAACCAGGACTGGCCATTGAACTCTTGTAATTGTGTCAAACAGGCCGGAAACATGTTTTTGTTCGTTTGTTTGCAGGTGTTGAAAATTAGAGCACACGTTCTGAATATGCAGAGTAGTTCATTTTTCTGCTGAAAGTTAAAGTTCTTTCCTTCTGGCATCATTGTTTTTTAAAATATATATTTTGAAACATTGCCATGTCGTTATGGGGTGAAATAAACACTCCACTTCCCTTCTCTTCACCCTTCAGGAAAGTATGGGAAAACAGGGCAGAACTAGCATCTTTTTGCCCTATTTTCCTGTAGAGGTAGACATTGGGTTGCGGGGTGAGAGGCATGAACAAGTCACCCCCAAACAATATTTCTCCCAGACCTCTTGGGTGGAATCTAACTGCAACCAGAAGGTTAAAAGAGATGCACCAAGGACTTGTACTCTCCAGAAAGGGGCATCCCAAACGAGGACAAGCGTTGTGAGATGGACCTACTCTACCTGAGCATGTTTGCTTTACTCTTTTGACTACTATGGGCTTTTAGATGATTTAGGTCAACTGTAAATTCCTCGAAAGTATCAAGTGAAATATTTTGTATCCACCAGATTTGCTGCTGCTGCCCGGAGAAGTGGAGCAGGACCTGAGCCCCCGAATTCCTCCCTGCATTCCTCCCGTGGCCCGGCCTGGGATCCCTGGAGCGAAGCCCCAGCCCACGGTGAAAGGGGCGGACAGGCACAGGGACGAGGTACTCCACAGGGGTTCGGTCAGGCTCGGAATCGCCCTGCCTTTGTAACTTGTGCTTTCAGGGAAATGCTGGCCTACCTGTGTGCTCTTGCATTTTTCCCAGATTTTGGAAAATTCAGAATTCAAGTTGCTTAACTGGGTCCCTCTCACCGCCATCTATCTCTAATGTGTATATTTCTTTTTAAACACAGAACGAGTATGCTTATGTGTGGAAACTATTTTTGTTTCATGACGTATGCCATGCTAGGGGCCAGGGCCACCTGGGGACAACGCAGCAGAAAGGACAGACGGTTTTCTTATCTCTTTTAGTCCGAACTGGCCTTTTTTCTTTGTATCATTGTTCCTGAGGTCCTGTAAACATCTGGTGTTAGTTAAAGTAAGGCCAGGCTGCTGCAGGGCAGAATCCCAGCAATAACTCAGTGGCTGGAGGGGATGGAAGTTTCTTTCTTGTAACAGCCTGTGGAGGGTCTTCAAAGTTAGCAGTGGCTCGGTTCCCTGGGATCATCCCTGCTCGTTTTCTCTGGAACTCCCCTCTGCCTCAGGACATTGTCCTCAAGTGCATGTTGCAAGTGAGGTGACCATCCTCCCTGGAGGGGCAGGGATGAGAGCAGGGGGCAGGGGTGAGAGCAGGATGCACACCTATATGCCTAGGACACCTGCAGGCTTACGTTAAACCCCTAAATTGGCTACCAGCTGCTTTTCTATGTGCTTTCTGAATTATGGATTGCTTTTGTTGAATAGTAAGAAACAAAAATTGCAAGGTTATTTCTGGCAGGAATCAGTTTCTTTCCAAGAACCTGTTTATGATCTTGACTTCCATTGTGACCATAAAAATTATTTGACCAACTAGTGGTCATGCCCCCTAGTACCATTATAGAAATCTTTGTAAAATGATTTCAGTTGAAAATTTTAAGAAACACTGAATGATTTCTGGAACCTATCAAACATCCAGTAAGATGCTTTTTAGAACCCTGTATATGACTGTATCCTCAAAAAGAATATAAATTTCTCCCCAGAAAATGTGAACATTTTAAAATGTTGGAATCAAAATGATATAAACATTTTTGTGTGTGTGTGTGTTGGCTGACTCATAAGACATAGATGGATAACTTTTGCTGTTTTTTAAACATCCAGAGTAATATCTTGGTTTGGGATTTTTATTTCTAACCATTACTTGTGAGGGAAACTTTTCAGAACTGTCTAGAATCTTAATACCGGGCCAACTCTGTGTGGTTTANACCAACTCTGTGTGGTTTAGGAGTAGTAATCGTATTTTAAAGCACCCAGTAGCAGTAAAAGGACTTACGCATCGACTTCCAGCAAATGTGTCCTGTCAGGACCTACCAAGGGGCTAGAGATAGCTGCTTTCTGTGACTTCAGTGTCAGAGGATGCCAGTGTACCCCGGACACTCTGACTTCCCATAATTGCCTAATAAGAATCCATGGCGTCCTGGTATAGATTGGACTAATTAATTTTTTTTTATCACTGGTTTTATACATTGTGTACTTCCCCCCTTAAAATCAAACATTTTCCAAGAAACTTCCACTTTCTATTTGTGAATAATTTCTCACCTTTGTTAATTGATTTTGATGAAAGGAATTCACATTAGGAAGATGAAAAATTGTGAGTTCCTTCTCCCTACCCCCAACCCACAGAAGAGGTCATAGAAGAAACGTTGGTAGTATTTTAATGGGAGATATCCTGTTTTTTTTTTCAATTCCTATTGGGACTTCAAAAATTTTCACCTATAAAGACAGTGTATTTACCATATTGTTTTGTAAGAGAGCCTATAGCTAAATGCTGCTATTACTGATTTGAGCATTAGTCCTGTTTTCTTTGATTTGTCTATGTGGTGGTATGAATGAAAACGAGTCCTCTTGTAGCAGAATCTCCCTTAGAATAAGTCACATGAGCAATTTTACGGAATCTAGCAGTGTTTTGCTAATGTACAAATTCTATTCCCCCAGAGGCTACACAAAGATTTCAGTTAGATTTGAAGTTAGACACCTGAAATCCACACACTTCTCTCAGCTCCTTAGGCAAAAATAACAAGTTAATAACTTAATTCATAGTTGTTTTCTGTTTAATAGTGGGAGATTTGGTGTTCCATTGCACAAGTTCTTCTCTTTGAAATAAATCAGAATTTGAGTTAGCAATCTACAAACTGTGGAGTCTTTTAGCTCAAGACCTTAAAATGAACCTAACTTGAAAGAAGGGAATTCGCCGAGTGTGCCAGTAGCCAACAGCTGAAATACATAAATAGAATTGCTACTTTACAGTCTTTTGAAAGCTGTCATTTCGAAGTTCACAGTGATGTCTTCTGAGTTGCAGTGTGTATCTAGTTGTTTCTTTTTTGTTGTTTTTAAAGTTAAGTTTATTGAGATCTAACTTACAAAGTCAAATTTATCATTTTGGGGTGTATAGTAAAAAATACTAAATAAAAAACTGCAATACTTTATATTTAGAGTTTTTAAATGGCATCGTTAACGTATATATAGGGGTCCCAGAAAATGTATGTACACTTATTAAACATTATTAATTCCAATGGATTAAAACTGAAAAGAAAGAAACATCACTTGAGCTATCAGCTGTTGAAGTATGTATACATTTTTTTGGGACACCCTGTAGTAAAATAATAGTTACCTTTTAAGTCATGTGTTGGTTTATAAATTTCTAAGTATTGTGTTGAATTATAAATCTATAAATACTAGGGTATTCCTAATTACGTATTCATAATTACTTTGCTCTAAGAATGGATTCATTTCTATTCAGTCTGTGAGAGCTGTTGAAATATACTTACAGTTAATAAAAGAATAAGTTAATACAAAATTATAATGGCAGAGGCTTGGGGAAAAGCCCCAAATGCACAAAAACGTATGCTAAACTTTCGAGGCCCTGCAAATGGTCCATCTACGCCTCCCTTCCCCAGCCACTCTTTGCATGTGTATGTTTGTGCATGTTCTCAAGAATGTTAGGTAGAACGTTTACTTTTGAAATTATATGGTAAAATAAACCAAGTCCTAAAATAAGTTGGACACCTTAACTTTAGTAAGAAGTCAATGTTATCTTCAGTTGGGTTCATTTTTTGTGTTAACATTTGCTCTCACTTCTCATACTCACAATTTCTTAAAATGGTTTTATATTCTTGCCCTTAGTTCTTAGATACTCATTTTCTTTTGCTGGGAATGTTTTCTGTTCACTCTGTCCTCTCAAGCTCACTCTCTCCTGTCCTCGTTAGCGTCTCCTAGTCCTTTCAGAGCTGGGATCAGTTTAGCTATCACTTACTCCCCCAGGCTCTCCCTGGCCTCCAGGCTGGGGTTCGTGCCCCCCTCTACGACCCCACTGCACCTTGTATGTACCCCTATGACATGTAACAGTAAACGCCTGGTGGCTGGGACTGTGGCCTGTACATTCTGGCACCGTTGCCCGCCTCTGCCTAGCACAGGGTCGGATAATATCAGGAGCAAGATGTGATGCATTCTTCCCTTGACCAGGTATGAAAGGGCAGCCAGGATCCCATGAGCTGGTGCCCGGGCATGATGGGACTCCCCCTGGCCCTGGCAGTGTCCGTTAGCTTCGGCCCAGGACGGGGCCAGGCCTGCCAGCCTCGGCGCGCATCGCCCAGGAGACTTGGAGACTGCGGGGACGCTTAGGATCCAGGAAACGAACATCCCGCGTCCTTGTGTGCATGTTTCTTCGCTGGAGCTGCTCTCAGCAGGGCAACCCCTCGTCCCTTTGTGGCGATGATAAGTTTGACCTCAGAAGGTGGCCCTGATGGATCAGTCCCCCTGCGGGCTGACTTGCTTCCCGCGTGCAGCTGCTCTCCACGTAGACGGTCAGGGTATGATGCGGAGCCTCGTGTGCTCTGTCTGTTATAAGCGACGGGATTTGTTTAGCTCGCTCAGGAAAGGGCCTTTCTCCCAGGCAGCGATGACGCGGCTCCGTGAAGACTCCCAGGTGGATTTTTGCTGGTGATGTTTGAGAGGTGAAGCTTCACCTGAAGCAGATGACCCGGGATTCAGATGTCCCCTCTCTTCCTTCCTGGCCGTGCAGCCTAGGGCACGGGACAGCCTCTTGAGATGGCTGTCGGAAGATCACTGCTCACCCCACACAGCTCCTGGCACTGGGGCTGGCATTCGGTGGGAACTCCGTCAGTGACCACTCCCGTCTTTACCGTTGTCAGGAAAGCATGCACTTTCTATTAAGGAGTAAACAAGCAAGTCTCTGAAATTGGTTCTCTTGCTGGTTTTACTAAGAAAGGCTGATAAATGGCTGGGTGTTTGCTTTGAACCCCGCACCCCTGACTGAGATGCAACCTGCCGAACAGACAGGACATGCGTACTTTCCATGGTGGTTTTTCTTTTTCTCTCCGCTTTTAATAACAGCACGGTTTCTGAGCTCTACGCTCCATTTTCAAGAACACTGCAAAATCCACTCAATGAAATCATTTTCCAGACAATAATATTTAAAGCTGATTATAGCTTCAGGGCATTTTTTCCCCTGTTCTTGCATAAACTGTAGTTTTCAATTATCTCAGCATCGCCATACATGTTACAGAGCCGCACGGAGGCTTCGCTGTAGCACACGCCATTGGCTCTGGGGGGCTCTTCAAGGGGTGAGGTAGTGAGAGGTAAGGCATTCTCTCTTGTTTATTGGCAAATATGCTTAAAAAAATCTACCTTCCTTTAGGAAATGTTTAAAACACAGATTATGAATAAATAGATACAAAATTATTATACCTCGTTGGAATTTCTCTGACTTGTAGATAAATTCTATAGTATTTTAGAAATTCTTGGTAGGACAAAGGAATCCTGGGCTTTTTAATTTAAGGCGAGACTGTGTGCTTTAATTCCTACTGTTATTGGACCAGGAATTATAGGTATAATCTGAAGTTAATGCATTAAGTGCAGAGTATTTTTAACTTTGAAAATGTCTTTTACAGTAAATGGTGAAAATGTATTCGAGGTTGATCAAAATTTTAAGGCATGTTTTTCCACACTTTAATATAACTCTTCATTTTTCTGTATGTTTCTAGTCCTAACACTACAGGTGGTAAAAATGTAGTGAATGTGTGCAAGAGAGACTTTCTAATTCTTGCCGTGGGTGGAATTAGTTAATGATATTCCTGTAGAGGCAGGACGGTACAAATGGGGCATATTAAGGGGCTTAAATTAGGTCAAATTGAATAATTGAATTTATTCCTTTACTTAAAAAGAGCTTAATCAGCCGAGAGAGCTGAAGTCTAAAAAAAAGTTTAATTAAATATTAATAGGGAATTTATGTTTTCAACTTTATCTTCATTTACAATGATTGTAAATGATTTTCCTCCTTTGTTACGTCCTGTAGATACTTGGAGATGAAGTTCAGCCCTTCAGACTTGATGAAGAATTTGATTATGACGCTGTGATGCTCACCCCCAAGTTCACTCCTGCAGAGCTAGAAGCCATCAGAGAGCTGTCCAAGCAAAAGCGAGGGAACACCAGCACAGACTTGGAGGAACCCGGCGACTGACTCTCCAAGGCATCTTCCCGTTTACTTTTATTTTGTTCTTATTTAAGCAAAAATGGAATAAATGATAAACCCACTGTAATTCCCTTTGTGGAAGTTTATGTGTGCCTTGATTTATCAGAGTTACTTGCCTGTAGGGAGATGCTCCTAACAAGACCGCAGAGATCTCTCCCCGCGGTTCCCTCTGTCGTGTTGTTGCAGCCCACGGCCGGTAGGGGGCGATGGAGATGCGAGCGGGGCAGGAAGCAGCGCCCAGCAGGGGTCCGTTTTGATGAGAGGCGGGGCATTGTAACAAAGACTGGAATCATCATCCCACCTTGTGGGGGGTGAAGGACAATTGCACTTGCAAAACACACTGTAGCACATGGAGAAGTACTGATTATGTGGGGAGGTTACCTGGCCCTGGCTATCCTGACATGTTGGTGTGAATCTGAATGCTGAGCGGCTGGGCTCTAGGGTTGGCTGGGAGGAGGCATCGGAGAAGCGATTCTGTGTCATGTATTAAATTCCTGTACTTTGTTATTACGATAATAGCTTCAAAGGGCAACGAGGAATGATCTCTATCTGCAGAAGCGTAAAATAGAATTTGGAAAGGCAAGACGTAGAGAGAGAAAGCAACTAGAGAATGTAAAAACTTATATGAAGTGCTAATTGTGTAGAGTACCCCAGGCGTGCGTTAAGGAAAGGAGAGTAGCTGGATGAAAGCGCAGGTGAAGGGGAAATAGTCTGTATGAAGTCAGTTTTATTATTGAAGGAGTCGGTGACAGATCAAATGTACTTAGTCTTAATTAGTTTTCACGCAGGCCTGTGCTTGTGTATGTGTGTATATGTATTCATAAAAATGGCCATTTATATTTCCTACAAAAGAATTCTCTTGATTTAACGTTATAGTGGAATCAGGTGACTTCCACATCTATTTTTCTTTATTTAGTCAACAAACTTTCATAAAACACCTTGCATGTGCCAAGGCAATGGGGAGAACACAAATGAGTTAGACATGGTCTGATTTTGTGGGGAAGACAGATGTATACACAAATAATTACCTTAGAGCTACGCTGCCCGATAGAATCTCCACTGGATGCATGTGGCTGTTGAGCACTTGAAATGCAGCCAGTGAGACAGGAACTGATTTTTAAATGTTAATTTTATTTTAATTTAAAAAGAAGTTGATATTTGATGCAGTTATTATAAAAGTTTCCAGTATATTTGGAACAATTTGGGCATTTTTCAATGGTAACTTTTATGACATCTAAATACAGATCAGTTATTTTTGACAACAGCTTATGTCTACATTTTAAATATGCTACAAATGTGAAATACACATTGGATTTCAAAGGATTAATATGAAAAACTGTAGAATGTCTTGTTATATTTTTATATTAATTACATGTTGAAATGATAATATTTTGGATATACCTGGTTAAATAAAATGTATTATTAAATTCACCAATTTCTTTTTACCTTTTAGATGAGGCTCCTGGGACATTTGCAGTCACACACGTGGCCTGCATATTTTTACTTGCAGCTCTGCGGTAGAGGGTAATCTGTGCTGTAAGGGTCCTGTGTACCGAGAGCTCCTGGGACAAAGCAAGTTGGAGTGATTTAATCATGCCGTGGAGAGCTGGGAGCCTTCACAGAGGAGGTGGCATTTGAGTGTGGTCAGGAAGAAATCAGGCCATTAGAAGAACTTGTCTGGGGAGATGATAGGAGCCCGAATTAAAGCAGTGTAGGTGGAAGTGGAGAGCATGCATTTGATTAGAGATTTGGACGTAGAACTAGCAAGGATTGTTGATTGATGCAATGTGGGAAGGAGAGAGCAATCGTGAGGTTAAGAAGATTTTAGTATGCAATCCATGTAATGCACCAAACTGAGACAACCACATTGTGATATAATCGTTCACAAGGCCAGAGACTCTCTTTTGACTCAATCAATACACAGCATTTTGGTATTTTAAATGAAGAAAAGACACCACCATTTTAAAGACTCAGTTTTATGGACTGAAATAGTTTTCTAATAGAAGAAACAAAGCCATCTTTCTAAGTGTTTAAAAAGCATGACACTTTAGTGTCATAGTTCATTAACTAGCCCGGGTAGTCGGCAGATGAATGTTACTGCAGAGCATTTCACCTGTAGATTTGGTGTACTGTGTTTAGGCTTTGTTCCTTTCGGCAGTTTTTGATTCCTGCATTATTTGGGGCAATTGTGCGTTACAGCAAAAGTGACACTGGAAAATGGGTCCCTCAAAGCCTTTCAATGAAATAGTTTTGTCTCAGTTGTATCGTTGCTCTCGCCCTAACTAGCAGCTCCTCCTGCACGACTTTCAGCTTTATGGATCCCTTGAATCGATGTAAATGGCTTGTTTTACGTTGCCCGGCAAACCCTGACCAAGCGCCTGTAGGAGAAGCCTGCGCGCATGGTGATGGCTAATGCTCTCACGGAGTCCGCGGCACCATCGAGGCAAGGCTGACGCAGAGCAGAAGCTAAGGGCGCCCCCGTGTGTGTGCACCACCATGGGAGGGGAAGACGTGGAAAATGTTAAAGTGTCTTGAAACAATGTGGCATTTGCTGCACAAACTAGCTTGAGTGAAGGTGTCAGGCCGGCCACACCGAGAGTGGTGGCACACTGAGCAACCTGAGAGAAAACATACCGACCTGGTATTGAATTTCCTTGATTCCTTCCTTATCAAGAATTTTTTCCCCTCCATGAAAGAGATAGAACTATATCTTCATTTAAATAAAGAAATGTTCCTTATGTGTGGGTGACTGCATAGTCGAATTAAAATATGAAAAAGAGAATCCATTTTCGTTTCATTTGCTTGTTACTTGGAAGTTGATGGTAAATGAAGACAATAGAATTGAAAATGACATGAAAGAGGCAACCTTACTGAGAATTTTCTAGGAAAATATTTTCCAGTATGAGGAAGAGAAATCCATACCTGACTGTGGCCTGTCCAGCCTTAGGTAATGTGGCCACTACTTACCTCTCCAGTGTCAACATACCTTCTTCATTGTATATCATGTTCTGACCAGTTTGTATTTGTTCTTGTTTTTCAAACACTCCACCTTGTTTCTACCACAGGGCCTTTGCTTTTCTGTGCCTGGTCTTCCTTGGTCTTTGAAGGCTGGATCCTTCTCATTGTTCAGGCCGCAGGTGGAAAGCATCTCCCCCGAGTCTCTCTGAACACCTGTCAACCCCCTTTTCACAGCCCTTCGCCCCGTCTCTGTGCCTCCCGTGACCCTGCCTCGTCTTGTTTATTATCTGACTCGCTCTCTAGAACGTAAGTTGCAAGAGGGCCTTCGCCGAGCCTGTCTTTTCACTGCTGCCTCTCCAACACCCAGACAAAGTGCCTGCAATAAAGTAGGTGTCAATAAATATTTACCAAGTGAATCAAACCTGAAAACATAAGAAGAACCTGGGGCTCCACCCCATCAATTCAGTCTGGTTGGATACACACTGCACTTTTTATGTTATTCAGAGCCCCCGTACATTCTTACTCCCTAGACTCCTGGGTCTCTGAGGGCCAGTGCCAATTTGGGGAGCCGAGCCTGATCGGTAGAACTGTCCCGTGTTCGGTGGGTTCCTTTCTCTCATAATAACCCTGCGGGGAACTGAGAGAGTCTCGACTCACAAGGGAGCTTGTTGGCAGAGGCCTGTTTCCTTCCTCTGCGCCGGGCACACAGTGGCCACTTAGTCTGCAAGCCTCTGTCCTTCCATCCTAGGAAGCTGTCTTGATTATTGTGTTTTTTTTATGATTTTCTTCCTTTTCTTTCTTTCTCTTTCCCTCCCTCTTTCCAGAATGTTCGCTTCCTTGGATGCTGAACTTCTGCGATTGCCACTCTGCTGCTTTTGCACTCTCTCCTCTCTCATTTTCCCTTTATCTTTCCTCTATTTTCTAAGATTTTTTGCAACTTTATCTTCCCCATTTTTATTGCAATGTATTATTTCCTTTATTTTTAAATCTACAAAACAGTAAAGAAATGTCCAGGAGAACACACACACGCACCCTTCCCTACAGCGTTGCACCAGGGCGGGACCATTAGACCGTGAAGGTGACGGGAGGGTCTTGCCCTCGAGAATGTTGAGGTGGTGCCTCTTGATGGCCATTGGCACTCGGGTTTTCTCTGTTGAATAAACGAGCGACAGGAACTGGAGTGAGATGTCAAGAGGTTTTTGCAGATTCTGCCCCGTGGTGGAAAGCCCGGTGTGAATACGCGATGGCTGGGTGAGCCCTAGGACCCCTGACGCGGAGAGGGGAGCGTCTCTGGCTGGTTGCCTTTGGTGCAGGCAGAGCATTCGTGTGTTAGGAGCTCCCTCCTCAGAAGCAGGTCCTTCTCTTGCTGATGCGCTTGCTGCCTGCATTCCCCTTGCCATTCTCGGAGCCTCCCTTTTGCTCAGCCCCTCCTGGGAGCCTTCTTACTTCCCACTTAGTCTTCAAACGCCTCCCTTCTCTCCATCCTAGCTCGTTTGGCTCGTTGCTTTCACGTTCATCTTCCCGTTGCTGTCTTGTTTCAAGACCACCGCTCGCTGCTCATTGCCCATTGCATTTCTAAAAACTTCCCCACGGAGCCCTCGAGGCCCTGTTGCCGTGGACCCCGTGACACGGACAACACTGAGCACATGTGGCTCCCGGATGTCGCCTTTTCCCTTCACGCTTTCCTCCTTACTGTTCTTTTCGTTCCGGATGATCACCCTTCAAGTCTGCCCAGTGAGTTTCCACTCGCCCTTTAAGATGTACCACAGGGGCCACCTCCTGCGGGAAGCCTTCCTGATCCCCCCAACCCGCCGTAGTTTCATCTTCCCCAGAACCTTGCTGTGGTTCGGTAACACCGTTGCTCCCCGTCCTCTTCCGCCTGGTTTCAAAGCCATTCGTGCCCATGTTTTCCCACCCGACCCTGAGGCACGTGCCGCGTCTCGCTCGTTCTTACAACGTGCGCTAAGCACTGTCTCTTGCACTTTATGGTTCTTGCCACTGACCTCCTGCTCTTGCAGAATCTGGGCGGAGTGCCACGGAAATGGGTCACGTTGACAGTTTCGTATTCAACCCCTATGTATCTAGTGTCTGGTTTATTCTAGAAACAAATAATTAATG